ATCTGGAAATTGTTTAATCTCTGCTTCAAATTTGCATGATAATCGTGCTGGTAAAGGATTCTTGGTTGAAGGTCCTTCTGTTTCAATACATTAAATATTTCATGCCACAATCTTCTGGCCTGTAAAGTTTCTGCTGAGAAGTCTGCTGATAGCCTGATGAGGTGTTCCTTATAAGTAATCTTTTTTCTCTCTTTGGCTGCTTTCAGTACTCTCTCCTTCCCCTTAGTCTTTGTCATTTTAATTATTACATGTCTTAGTGTTGCCTTCCTGGTATTCCTTTTGTTAGAGGCTCTCTGCACTTCCATTACCTGAGTGTCTATTTCCTTCCTCAGATTAGGGAAGTTTTCAACAATTTTTCTTCAAAGAGGCTTTCTATTCCTCTTCTTATGGTACCCCTATTATGCAAATACTGTTTCATTTGTAGTGTCACACAGTTCTGTTACCATTCTTTCATTCTTAGGATTCTTTTTTCTCTCTATTCCTCAGCTTCATTTTTTTCCTGCTCTCTAATTTCCATCTCATTGATTGTCTCCTTTCTTGAGCAATTTATTATTTATTCCCTCTTCTGTGTATTTCATTTCAGTTGCTTTATTCTTCTGCTCTGAGTGGTTCTTTTTCAGATTTTGTATTTCTTTTTTGAAGTTCTCCCTGAGATCATTAATACTTTTCTTCAGATCAGTGAGCATATTTATGATTGTTATTTTGAAATCTTTATCAAGAAAATCAGTGATCTCTGTTTCATTTAGCCCTCTTTCTGGTGTCTTATCCTGTAGTTTTATTTGGAACATACTCCTCTTCCTCTTCATTTTGTCAGGGTTTCTGTGTTTCTTCCTTTGTATTAGGTGGATCTGCTATACTTTCTGGTCTAGAGAGTGATGGCTTCATGAAGAAGGCATCCTGTGGTGGCCTGAAACTCAAGAATCTTTCCTCTCCAGTGCCTGGCTCTCCTTTGCAGTAAAGCCCCAGTTGCTGTTGGTGGGCAATGGGCAGGGCTGCTTTTCTTTCTGTCTGCTGGCATACTTTGTGTTCAGAGTGGCAGATCCTCTGCTTGGATTTTTTTGTGGGTGGGGCCACCCTCTGCCTGCTCTGCAGAATGGTGGGGCTGCTGGGCTACAGGGGGAGGGAAGGGTTGGAGCAGGATGGCATTGAGTCATATTTATGTCACAGTCCCTAGCAGTGGTGGGGCTTCCACGGGGAGGAAGGAGCACTCGGAGCTGGCTCCTGCAGACACCTCTCTAATTGGGCTGAGACAAGAGTGTGAAAGCTGGGAAAGCCTCCTTTTCCCTACTATGCAGCAATGTCTGACATTGGGCTGCCTGGCCTTCTGGGCTGAGGAAGGGTTGGGGAAGTGTCATCTACTTGCCCTTTCTCCTGTGGAGAGAGCCCATCCAACCTTTGCCCCTCTGGCACCCTTCCCACCATTGGCATCTTTCAAACTACTGCCTTTGTTTTGGGTCTCTGGGACCTGTGGAGCACACCTGTCCTCCACAAGTGTCTGGAGTCTCAGACTCCACCAGTGCGCCAACTCTCCCTGGTGTCCAGCCCTGTTAATCACCAGAATCCAATGCAATGTCGAGTCATGTTCCCAGGGCAGATCTCTAGGGCCAGGTGGGCAGAGTTCCTCAGTGCCTACTCCCTCTCTGCTCTTCTCCTCTTCCTCCCACTTATGGGCCTGGATGAGAGATGGGCTTGGATCCTGCTCAATCACGGTTCTGCCACTTACCATTCTCTGTGTGGTCTTCTCTTCTTCACCAGGTGTGGGTGGTCTGTTCTGCAGTCTTCAGGTCATTTTCAGATTTAGTTGTTTCTGCTGTAGTTGCTTCCTTGCTGTGTGTTGGGAGGAGGTTTCTGCCTTGCCTCCCTTCTCTGCCATCAGTTTTCCCCCTCTTCTTCCTGGTTGCTTTTTTTTTTTTTTTGTTCTATTACTTTTAAAGATATCTCTGCCCACTCCCAAGGTTATATAGAAATTCTCCTGTTTTCTTTTAGAATCTTTATAATTTAATCTATCACACTTAAAGCTCTTATCCATTTGGAATTAAGTTTTTGTATGATGCAAAGGAGGGGTCAAGGCATTTTTTAAAAATACAAGCAGTCAGTTGCTCCAGCACTTATCCTAGAAATATTATCTTTTTCTTCATTGAATTATATAGGTACCTTTGGAGAAAATCAATCAGTAGTGTATGTGTATGGGTCTATTTTGAGTTTATTGACCTATTTGTTTTACCCTCATACTAATAGACCATTCTGTCTTCATTACTAGGGAAATGCAAACAAAACTTTCTTCTTTTTCAATGCTTATTCTAGATCTTTGTACTGTTACAGAATTTTTAGAATTAGCTTCTCAACTTCTACTGTAAAAGGCTGTTAATAATTTGATTGGGTTTGTATTGAATTTATGGGTCAATGTAGAACAACTGACATCTTAACATATGGAGTCTTCTGATCCATATTGTATCCTCCTCACTTATGCAGGTCCTCTCTAATTCCTTTCATTAATGTGTTGGAGTTTTTATTCTAGATGAGTTGCATACCTCTAGTAAATTCATTCCCATGTTATTTGATAAATAGCATTTTAATTTTATTTTCCAATGCTTTTAGATAGAATCTAGAAGTAAAATTGACTTTTTGTTTATTGACTTTGCTTGACTCACCTATTAGTTCTAGTTCTTGTGTTTTGTCTACAGATCCTTTGTATTTTCTGTATGCACAAATGTATACTCTATGAATAAAAGTTGTTTTACCTCTCCCTTTCCAGACTTTCCATAATTAATTTCCTTTTCCTGGCTTGATTCCAGTATCTTCAGTATGATAGCAAATAGAAGTAGTGATAGAGCATTCCTTTGTCTTGTTATTGACCTTAGGGGGAATAATATTGACTTTGGTTATTTTCAAAGATACCTTTTATCAGATTCAGGAATTTCTCTTCTAATTCTGGATTGTTGAGTGTATTCATCATGCAAATGTGTTAGCATTTTACTAAATACTCTTGTTTGTTTGTTTTTTAAAGTAAATTAAGTAGATTGTTTTGGTTTTCATCATATGATCCTAGAGATAATATGACCTTCTAAAATTCAAGACGGAAAAAATCCGATAGACTGGACAAACATATTTTTAAATTCTCCGGAGTCATGCAGAATATTTTTGTGTTTCAATATTATTTAAAATGCTAACTTTTAGTGGCCTCTACTGTCTTCTAAAAAATAGAGACAAATCAACAAACAAAAAAGTTATTGTTACTTACTTTTCTTCTGGCCTTAAGTATTTCAGTTTTTATTTGTTCTTATATTTTCACCAGCAGTGTGTTATTGCCTTATGTCCATGTGTGCATGTGTGTGTGATTTGGTATAGAAGAGGCTCCCAATGTATATTTGTTAAATGAATGAAGTAGAACACTTGCTCCCATATCTTCATAGTCTGGTTTTCGCCACATAAAGTTTGGGAAGTTTATTGTCTATTGTTGAACTTCACCCACAGATCTAACCCTTGGAGCCTTTTGATTAAAATGTTTTCCATAAAATTGAAAGATTATATTTAGAATGTAAAGAGTTGCTCAGCATACCTTCTCCCACTAAGTTCGTGAATAATACCTTATCTTCTCATTCAGGAAACAGGTAACTCTTGAGTTCCCAGTCTGTACCAGCCTCTCATAAACATTGGCTAACATAGGCTTTTGAACCAGCTTTATATATGGGAAGGTTAGAGAGAAAAGGAAAATTGAAGGGACGCCAACAACTGAATATCTTAATGGGAAATATTACTGAAAAAAGGAATAAAAAATAATTAAAACTTTCTTTGGAGTTTTTGGAGTGTTTGGAGAAAACAACGACGAGTAGCACGTATTACAACTAAGATCCCCACCTTTAACTTTTAAGAAAGTCTTTCTAAAGATTATGGGGCTGATTTTTGGGAGTTTTAGTTATGCAGTTCATCCATTCAGTCACAAGAGGGGGCTGCTTCATCTGCCAACTTACAGTTCCTTTCTGGGAGAAGGGTTGGTCAACTTATGTTTTCCACTGACATGCCACAGAAAATAGGAAAAATGACATACTTTTACACTCTTTAGATAAATGTACTTTATAATTCTTGTTGAGTGTGTGTGGTCAAGGATTCAGGGCCCTTAGCCCAGTAGCTTAAGCCTCCCTAAACACTTTCTCTGTTACCCTTCCATGATTATCCCTTACCTTCTCTTTTCCTTATATATGCTTCTTTTATCTTGCCTCTTCTACACTTTTTCTGCCACCCCCACTTCTGCTGCCTTGTTTTCTTTCTCTTCTGTCTCTTCTTCCTGCCTCAGTGTCCTTGGTGCACAGCACTAAAGCATGGTGTAGAGATGAGTATTATGGACATTTGTTCAAGGAGCAAGAGAGTGAACACCATTCATGTCATCGATTACTCTTTGAAGAACAGATGCATTGAGAAATGTCTAGCTAGATGACAGTAGATGCATAGGTCCTTTATTGGAAACCTGAGCTCCAAGAGGTTTAGGTTTAGTCTCAATGTTAGTAATTTCTCCTGTCCCCATGAGCACATCACTGCTTACTTTGGAATCTCATCTGGATTTTCTGGAATGTGGATAGGAATTTTCATACTGTACAGTACAGAGTTTGGTACTGTTCTGGGATTAAAAGATACTTTCCATAAGCTCCACTGAGCATTTGCCAATTTATTTGGTACATGGAGGAAGAAATAACAGAAGAAAGATTCTAGATAGACACGTCCTTGAGACTGATTTTTCTTATCCAGAGACAAACTTTAAACCTCACAAATGATTGCAGTGGGTTGGGGATGTCTGGCTGATATTCTCACTTGTTTTGGGGGACATGACTCAAATAAGGAGAGAACTGCTCTCATTGGCTGAGAAGATCTTGGTGACAGCACAGTGGTAGCTGCACTTGTAGCTTTTACAGTAGCTGTTGCTTTTGTTTTCTGGAGACTCTTTAAGCCTAGGATAAGAGACAAAGTCTGAGCTCTAGTCCATGATCCTAGTTTGTCCTTGAAGTATGGGGCTGGTGATTGGAGTAAGTGTGTTTCTGATCTTGGGTAAGTGTTTGTGCCTACTAAGGCATGACTTTGAGACCAAAGAACCTGATGGATTATTTGATTCCTATTCCTCTCCTTGTGCTTTATCCAGCATGTTATGAATGGAATTGAGAACTGATCTATACATTTGCCTAGGGAGCACAGACCTCTCCATTTCAGGTGAAGTCATAGCCATGGTTCCAGAAGAGCCCTTAGCAATATCCAGGATGTAAGGAATCTCTGGGTTTATTGAACTAAAGACCCACAGAGTAGAGCCTATGAAGTTTCTCATTCTTGGCATATATCTTTGCTCTCTATGATGAACACCAATGATATTTTTGCATTCTAGCAGGATACAAATAAAAACACTGGAGTATGGAGTAGGACCGGATTGGTAAGGGAGTGTTGTACCCTTGATCCATAGAGTTACACTGATTTGTAGTCAGGAGCTAATTTGATTTTCTTGACCCCTCAGGGATTATGACTAATGCTAAGACCACCCAGATCAACTTCCAGGATCATGCTGAAGGCGAAGATGTAAACCTGCACTGTAACCACTCTACCATTGGTGGAAATGAGTATGTGCACTGGTATTGGCAAAATTCCAATCAGAGTCCACAGTATATAATTCACGGCTTAAGAGACACTGTGATTAAGAGCATGGCCTCTCTGACTATCACAGCACACAGGAAGTCCAGTACCTTGACCCTGCGCCGGGTTACCCTGAGAGACGCCGCTGTGTACTACTGCATCCTGAGAGACGCAAGCTGGGGCAGATGGCACTGCACCTGTATAGTATCTCCCTGGGGTGGGGGAGGGAAGCAGCATCCATCAAAGCAAATCTAGACCTATCTGGAAGAAGAAAATAAGAAAGAAGAAAGAAGGAAAATGAAGAGAAGAAAAAAAGGAAAAGATGCATAAGGAAAAGAAAGGATGAAGGGAGAGAGGTCAAAGAACTCAGCACATCATTTGTTGATGTGTCTGAGAATTATGAGAAGACTAAGAATCATAAATTTAACATAACAATACAATGAAGAAGTATTAACAATTTGTCATGGCTTTTCCTGATGTCAATAGAATGTTGGTTTCAGTGTGTAAGCCTCAGTATAATAGGTAAAGAAAACAAAAATAATTCTGCTTGTCCCAAAAGCTTCTTTCATTGGACTCAAGAGCAAGTCCAAACTCTTCAACACATACTTTTATAGTTGTTCCACTTACCAGAAAAAAATTACTCTTTCTCTGAGAATGAAATATTTTTTGCTGCTAGTCTAGAGAATGCATATTTGTGATGAAGTTTTATGGGTTTTTTGGGAAAGAAACAAAAATTAAGCAAATCTTAATTTATTTTTATTTGTCTAGGAGTCCCAAATCTTTAGAGTCTTCATCATTTTTTTGATATTCCTTAAGCAACAACATACATAAAAGACTCAGGCAGAGCAAAAGTGAAAGCCCATGGCTATATCTGGTCCTTGATATGAGTGTGCACATTCACATCATATTCCTGGACCTTCAAAAACACTGAGAAAATTTTCCTGCTACATAGGATGTGTACATAAATGTAAATTGTTATGATTATAATATTGTGGAAATTGTTTTGATTCCATGTGTGAGAGATGATGGAGCAGATATTTGTACTCAAGTCCTAGAAAGTACAGTGGGAGGTGCTAGGAGTGGTTTCCAAAGATAAGCATATCTCTTTCCAGATCCCTCCAGTCATTTTTTCCACTCATTTCCTCCTTTTCACAGCTTTTGATCTTACTTTCCTTTCATTATAAGACCATCCTCTGCCTCAAGATATTTAAAAACACAAAGTACTGACACATATTTTGCTTTGTTTTGTTTTCTGAAGTATCTTCTGTAACTAGCATAGTACCCAACAAATAGCAGGTGCCCAATAAATATTTATTGAATAAATAAACATTCATGCCTGAAAATTTTACTAACAAATGTTAGGGATACAAGGATACAATAAAGTAATAGGGGTATGAGTTATATCTTCTATAAAAAAATAAGAGAGAGCCCAAGAATATCACATGGAGACATAATGAAGAGAGGGATATATTCCAAATCTTTATTTATTCACGTACTCATTAATTCCTCCATTCCTATTGTTTTCTTCTTTCCTGTATCCTTTACTTTCTCTTCTCCTACCTTTCTCTCTTGATTTCTCTTTCCAATCATTATAGTGAAATGATATTAAAATAAAATGTGTGATTGCCTATCATTATTTTGTCCTAAAGTATTTTGTTAAGCTCTTCCTGCGAAACTTCAATTCATTCCAATTCAAAATTCTCTATGACATCTTCATAGATCATGCCAAGTGGTATAAATTTCTTCTTTTTCTATTAAAATTCTTAATATATTTGAGGTTGTTGGCACCAGATATTTTGAAAGGTTAGAATGGCATTTAGCTAGAATCCCCTGGAAAGGGGCAAGGGTTTCTGTCAACTATAAAAAAGGAAACAGAAAAAATGTCTTGTAGACATCAGTTATACTCACAAACAATCCATTGCCATAACTAAGCCAATGAAGGTGTAACAGGGACATATGGCAATTAAGCAATGCTATACCCCCAGGAAATTCAGTGCCTGCCAACCCTAAACCAGTCAACAAATTTTAAAAAGGCTTTTCTTATATGTCTGTCTTTTTCATCCCTGTTCAGAAATAATCCTCTACCAATCAAAAACAAAAAATCATGTGCTGTCTTAACACTGAATGTTTCTACTTTAAAATACATTGCCAAATTTATTTCCATAAATTGAGAAATTAATTGGTAGTTTTTAACACAATTGTCATTAGTTTTACTACCAGTTCTGCCATTAGAGACTTACCATCAGTGGATGACTCACAAGAAACATAACAGCATTTAAGAAGTATGAGCTCCATTGACACACTTTATCTATTGACTTTTATTTCACACAAGTAATATAGGTTAAATCAGGAAGGCACTTAGCAGTGCACCTTGAGGATTCTACCGTTTCACAGACTCTACCTGTTAAGCATGTCTGAGAGACTGATTCCAAAGTTAGGAGAATATCTGATTCATTCTTCCACAGTTGCTTGGAATGGGCAACACACAAAATGATTTTCAAGTTAACATGCCACCAGAAGTAGATAATGAGATAAGAAACTAATAAAAAATTGCATACACATAGAGTATGGGGAAGAAATATCCCCAGGACATACAAGAGGAGAAAACTTCTGAAAATAATTTATTTTAGTGATCATAACAAAAGTGTAGAAAACTGCATCATCAATGTAGTAGGTGGTGACTGTCAAACATCTAGCAAAAAAATCTGAAAGTAGAGACAAATATTGAAAGAATGAGATGAGTAGATGGAGATAGAAGATAAAATTAATAAAGCAGTGTTACAATAAAAATTGGAAAACATTGGCACTATCTGCCAAGGATAAAGGATATTTTAATAAATGGCATCCAATAATCCGTCTTACGGAAAAAATGCATCTTCGCCTTTATATCATGTGTCAGTAGCAGTTCAGATAGAGTGCAGATCTGAATGTAAGAATAAAATAGAAAGCTTGTAGAAGAAAACAAAATTTTCATTATTTTGTGTTAGATAAACTTTTCTTAAATAGGATACAAGAATATCTAAGCACCAAAATTGGACTATTCTAAAACTGCCATGAAAATTAAGTTATTTCAAGAGTTGAAAGTAGCCTATTTGCAAAGATATTTGCAGCAATTATTGAAGGGCCCCCACCCATAATCCCAGCACCCCTCACCCCCCTAATCCCAGCACCTAGCCAATAGCCACCAGCCCCGTAGAAGTGACACCTCAATCAGCTCATGCCCCTTCCTATATAACCCAGCACCTTTCCCTAATAAAGCGGAATTCTCCGGTGAATTGCTGCTGTGTGTCGCTCCTTTCCTTTCAATTATTATCATCAAAAGGCTTGTTTTGGTTAAAAAAAGATGTTCAAATCAACAAGAAAACAAACTGATATAAAAGGAAAAGTCTTAAGTAGGCACTTCATGAAAGAAGACATTCAGTGGCCAATGAACATGTCATTTCTATGAAGTCCAAAAGCAGACATAAGAAACCTTTACTGTAGCAGCCTGCACTAAATAACAGTATGGTCAGGACAGTGTTACCCACGGAACAGAACCATTAAGGTCATAAAGGGAGCTGTGAATTGTTGGTAATGTTCTGTTTCTTGATTTGGCTGTTGGTTATAAGAGTGTATCAGTTTTCTGAAAATGTATCAAGCTGAACACTTACAATATATATTTATACCCTTTTATGTATATTATACTCCAATAAAAACTTAAGTGATACATGGCCTCATACTTATTATAAGATGATATGTGAACAAAAACTAACCTTTCAGGTCCTTTTGTCCTGTTTTTCATTTTTTTGTGCCTAAAATACCTGAGTAAACAGACATGACTTCAGACGCCAGGTAAACCTGGCCCTCTGTTAAAAGGCCATAGAAGAACAGTGTGATAATGATCTTTTTCCTCTACCTGTAATACACATGTAGGACTTATGACCCTTGATAAGTAGTACCAGGGAGCCTAGCTGTCAACATTTTGGGTTATTAGAAAAAATAGAAAAGTCTATTGAATAGGAAAGGATGATAAATCACTCCGGATACTTACATCTTTTTTTTTTTCCTTTTTTCTATCTTGGCCACTTTGTGTATGTGTGTGCATGTGCTCTTTTTTGTTGTTGTTGAGTATAGCTGATAATGCAATATTATATTGGTTTCAGATGCACAACATAGCGATTCCACAATTATTGAAACATCACAAAATGCTCCCCATGATAAGCACAGTTACCAGCTGCCACCACACAAAGATACTACAATATTACTGACTGTATTCCCTGTGCTGTACTTCATCCCCTCGACTATTATTTTATAATTGAGGTTTATATCTCTTTATTCCATTTCCCTGTTTCTCCCCTTTCCCTAATCCGTCCACGGCAACCACCAGTTTTTTATGAGTCTGTTTCTGGTTTGTTCATTTGTCTTATAGCATAGACTTCACTTGATCAGAACACAGTATGTGGTGACCCCAAGCTGCAGAAATCTGGGGAAGGTGTGTGATTTTATCTAGCAACATCGTAACTAATAGAACATCAGGATTCTACGGATGAAGAAGTAAAGTGAGTATTTGTAGGGGATGAGTGGTTCCTGCCATCACCTTAGCCATCAAAGGGCTCTCACCGCACTGTGGCATATTATGGGTGCAATAACATTTGTTAGCCAACATATTTGCCATAACTAACATTATCTAAGAGTCTAGTGCTTGGTTCCAGTGTGCCATAATGGTGTGTAAGGGAGCTCATCTAGTCAGGGGAATGTGTTGATTGATAGCATTTATAAGAAGCTTTGGACTCCTAATTATGAAACGAAGCAAGAGAAGATAAGAGAGGAATGATGTTCAGGAGGAAAGTGGAGGAGTCAGATACTTAAATTGTCAATAGGAATAGATAGGAAAACAAGAAAGAAGATTCACAGTCAACCTAAATGGACATTCTGAAGCCCACCAGCTCATCAGAGTCTCTTTCGCGAAGATCCGGGCTTGTTCGCAGAGCACAGCCGCAGTGGGACTGCAGGGACGTGCTCCCGCTGTGCCCTCTGCCGCGTGGGTTTTCAATGTGAGGTAGAAATACTTTTCTTTAGGGTTTCTATCTATAAATAGAAAATCTTTCTACTTTGGCCTCTAAATCCCCACTCTGCTGTAAACAAACATTCAGCAGCTCCTGTGAGAACTCCTCCCAC